TGGTTTGCTGGTTCATTTTCTAAGACCTTTAAGGGTCTCCAAAAGCAGCTTCTCTCTTCTTATAAATCAGATCGCTCCTCCAGCTTGAGACCCACAGAACCCTGCCGCTCATGCTTCCTTTAGTCACCCTCAGACTCGGCCGTGCCCGCTTAGAAATGACAGGGGACATCACCGCTGTGAACCGAGGCTCGTCCAGAGAGGGCTTGGGGAGAGAAGCGAAGCCCGGCTTGCTCGTGCCCCCGAGGGGACAGGAATGACGAACATGAAGAGGCGTGGGGAGCAGGTCACACGGGCGAAGGGACAGGTCTAAGTTAATGCTAGAAGTGAAGAAGGAAAAAGGAAATGCCCATTTCAAGGGAGGAAGAGAACGGGAGGGGACATCCTGGGAGTCCCTGTGACCCAGGAGCCTCACTCCCTGTGGTGAGTTCACGGCGTGACTCGTTAGCGTCTCTAGAGGCCTCCGTTGTCCCCCAGCGAGTGCCCACCCCTCCGAGTGACACTGTCCCTTGGGGAGTTTTCCACACTCCAGGCCTGCGGGGACAGTGGGGGTGGGAGGTACGCTGTCCCTGATCCCACCCTGCTCTCTGGGTAAACCCACCAGGGTGCCTGGCTCCGAGGGGCTGCAGGCGGCCTCGGGGACTCGGCAGAAGGGGCTCGCCCCTCCCAGCAGTCTGCCACTTTCTGTGGGGGCGTGTGTGGCCGTCAGGTCACAAGGGGGCCGTTGGGGACAGAGTAGGGAATAGGATTCTTCTGGCTCTTGAATTGGTCTTTGTTGGTTGTGTGGTTTCTGTGGAGCTTTTAAAGGGACCGTCTCTTCCTGCTGCTCATTTTTCTCTTCTTTTGGGTACGACGAGGGTCGCGAAGGCCGGCTTTAGTCATGGCTCTCGCATCAGCCCTGGTCGTCCCCACCAACCCGGGGCACCGATGCCATCGGCTGGGCGCTGCCATCTGCGGACTAGGCTGCAGGGCGGGGTCCGGCCTTTCTCAGGGGCCTCGGAAGACTGTCCCCAGTCTGGCCAGGGTCAGGTGGGAGACCCATTGTAAGGACGGGGAAAACTGAGGCGAGAGCGGGTCAGTGGCCACTTGCTCTGCTGTCCGGACTGCGCTCGGAGACGGGACGCTTCCTGTCCCCGCTGTCAGCGCAGAGTCGTTAGGGGCTAGCGGGGTCTGGGCAGCGGAATACTGTACAGCTGTGGACGTCGTGTGGGAGCTCTGTGCCTCGATGAAGGTACGTTCAGTGGGAAAGGCGGAGCTCAGGACGACGCGTCCCCGTAAAGAGCCAGCGTGAGTCGGTACGTGCTGATGGGCGAGGAACGCGCCGGAAACAAACCTGGGAAGCGGCTCCCCGGCTGCCTCGGGCGTCTGGGTGCAGCCTGAGGGAGGCTGCTCACGCGCGTGCCTCGGAGTGGGAGATCACGTAGATATACTGCTCCTCAAACACTGAAGTAAGAATAATAGGGCGTGCACGGGAGGGGGGTCCGACCTGATGCTGGTGTGAGCTGAAAGCAGGGTGTCGTGCCGCCCCCTTGGCCACGGTGTCCCTGAGCTCTGACCCGAGGCCTGCAGAGCTGCACATGCAGCAGCGGCTCTGAGTCTGGGGGATGGTCTCGTCCTGCCACTGCCCTCGCCTGTCCGTCGCAAGGGGATGAGGCTCCCGGGGCCTGTTCTGGAGGTGACAGACAGTGCAGGGGCTCCGTCCTGCTCTCACCTTTGATTCTGACTGTCCACTCGATGACCTCCACTTCCCTCTGCTGCGGCCGGCGGCCCCCTGGTGCTGCTGGTGCCCTGGCGCCCACCCGCAGCTTGCAGGCCGGCAAGAGCCCGTCAGAGGTCCCCGTCCATCCTCAGCGACACTCGGGTCCGGTGGCAGGTGCCCGGTGGCAGGGTGCTATAGAGTTCTGCGTGTGGGGGCGGGGGGCACACGGAGCTTCCTCTGGAGAAGAGCACAGGGTCCCCCCTGCACCCCGGGCAGCGAGCGTACAGGGCGCCTCAGAGTGAGCAGCCTGCTGATGCCCGTCTTCTCTCCCAGGGCACCCTCATCCAGCACCTGAAGGAGCACAGCCTTCACGGCAACATGACCAGCAGCGACATCATACTCTTTTACACCACGGTGAGTGTCTCCGGAGATGCCAAGTGGGGTCCCCACCTCTGCGTTGCTCCTTCTGGGTGGCCGGGCTGTGGGCTTCGCCGTGGTCTGTCCTTACCTTCAGCCACTCCCTGTCACGTGTGGCAGTAGCAAGACGCACACGAGGCCCGGGCTGCAGGTGGAGCAGCTTCTGCTGGCTAGCCCTCTCTGGCCTCCGGGCCCTGCCTCCTCTTCCAGTCCCGCTGGCCACTGGCCCCTCCGTGCCACCTCGTCACTCCCGACTTTGGCCTCTCCTCTCATAATGCCGAGTGCCTGGGGAATTCTAGAGAAACCGAGAATGCTGACCACCAGCTCGGTCCCTTAGGCCTCTAGAGGTGCAGGGTGAGAGTCACATGGCTGAAACTTGCCGTCGACCAGGGGACAGGAATTTACGGAAAATGTCGTGAGGATTGTCGCTTCTTAGTTGTGTGCAATGCAAAGTGACTCGTTCAGGTGGAAAAGGAATTTATCCGAAGGCAGCAGATGGCTCAGGGGGGCAAAGATGGCGACGTCCTCAGCTCCAGAACCAATGAATGAGGGACCTTACAGGACACAGAGGACTTTGCAGATGTGATTAAGTTAAGGATCTTGAGATGGGGAGATGGTCCTGGACTATTCAGGTGGCCCAGTGTGATCACAAGGGTCCTTATAAGAGAGGGGACAGGAGAGTTGGAGTCTGAGAAACAGACGTGGTCACAGAAGCAGTGGTCGCAGTGCCGTGGGCCCCGAGGCCAGGAGTGTCGCCTCTGGAAGCTGGAAAAGGCAAGCAAGAGCCTCCCCATGAGGCTCCAGAGAGAGCCCAGCCCTGCCGACACCCCGATTTTGGACTTCCAGCCTCCAGAACTCCCAGACGGCGAGTTCGTGTCGTCTCAGGCCCCCACGGCTGTGGCGGTTGTCTCGGCTTCCGTAGGAAATGCGTACGGGGGGCTCGCCAGTTCCCCTGACAGCTGGGGATCCGCGTGTGGAGAGCAGCGGGGCCTGAGGGAGGCTGCGCTCCCACGGTCCTTGTCCTGGGAGCACGGAGGTGTGGCCCACGCGGCCACGCCGTCTCGCCTGTGCCCTGGCCGGTGCCGCCCTACGGAAGCTGTTGTTCCCTGTCCTGAGTCCTTGCCAGTGCAGCCTCTGGCCGAGCCCAGGCCACCCGCCCCAGCTGCCAGAGAAGCTGGCCAAGCGCCTGCCTGGCCCTGGTGCTCCTTGCGGAGGTGTTTGCCGCACAGCCCTCAGAGGCCGTAGCATCCCCCTGACGAGGCAGGGGCTTCAGGTGGCCAAGGAAACGCAAACAGGACACAGCAAAAACCATGTCCACAGCGTCCCTTCTCTGTGCCCGGCGTCGCTGGCACCGCGTGGCGGGACACGGGCTGGGCGGAGTCCTGCCTCCTGTGCTTTTCCACCCCTCAGGGTGGGGCATGCAGCGTCAGACCGAAGCTCGGTTCGGGGGAGTGGAGAGCTTCCTGTCCTTGTGGGGTGCTGAAGAGGAAAGCTTAGGACCGTTAAAGGAAGCTGTGTTTAGCCGAAAGGGGGAAAATTCAGAATCGGCTCTTTCCGAGACTGCAGGTACCACGAAGTTCTAGGACGACTTAGCTCTGTTTCCTGGATGATGACTTTGTGCTGAGTTTTTAAGGAAACAGTGCTGGAGGTGTGCCCTAACCTGTGACGTTAATGCCCCTGGGGACAGACCCGGGCCCCAGGCAGACACAGGACGGGGAGCCTAGATTGCTCTCCATGTGTGACCAGGGGCAGGTGGCCTCATCTCTCTGTAAGTCAAGGGGCTTGGGACAAGTGATCCAGGCTTGTTTCACCTGTGGGATTTAGCCCAGACCCCTGCTCACGCCCTCCCTACATATGGGACAGTGGCAGGACTCAGAAATCTGGGGCATCTGCCTTTTCTGGAAGCCTCCGTGTGGATGGATCGGATAGCCAGTGGTTTCTGGGGAGTAAGCCAGCGCCGACAGCAGCCTCCAGGGCGGTCGCTGTGAGGCCCCACATGGCTGAGCCGGCATGGAAAGCGGCCAGTCCTTGCCAGCTTTGGGCCGTCTTAGGTGGTTTCCTAGGGACGTGACAGGCTGAGTGATGGAGAGAGGGAGCTGGCCACCGCTTGCTTGACTCTGTGCTCCTTCTGTCTGTTCCAGGTTGGCTGGATGGTCTGGAACTGGATATTGTCTACTCTGGCCATGGGCATGGCCGTGGTCCTGTACGACGGCTCGGTGCTGAAGCCCACGCTGAACGTGCTGTGGGACCTGGTCGACAGGATAGGGTGGGTCCCAGCATTGGCACTTCTAACCTGCCTGTCTTCTGAGCCCAGTGGCGAGAGGGAGAGCCCTGCCTGTCACCAGCTGCCCCACGGTGCTGATCAGCTGTCCCCTAGAACAGGAGTCCCCGACCACCAGGCCGTGGACCAGTACTGGTCTGTGGCCTGTTAGGAACCGGGCCGCACAGCAGGAGGTGAGCAGCGGGCAGTGAGCGAGCGAAGCTTCATCTGGATTTGCAGCTGCTCCCCAGCGCCAGCATCACCGCCTCAGCTCCGCCTCAAGTCACCAGGCATGAGATTCTCATAGGAGCACCGGTCCCTGGTGCCACAGAGGTTGGGGACCGCTGCCCTAGAGTATCCCCAAACCCTCACAAGTGCGATCCAGGGCTACGAAAGGCATCTCTGCCTCTCTGCAGCTCTGCAAATGGCACTTCTTGGTTGGGCGACAGGTAGGGATGCTAAGGAGCCAAGGCAGAAGCCAGTTAAAAGTGGGTGTCAGGGCCCCTCCCCCTGCAGTCGCCTCCTCAGAGCCGCGGCCGGACACCGGCAACCGCCGCATGCCGTCGCGTTGGCGTCGGCGCCGTCTTTGCTGGCGGGTTAGCTGTGACCGGTGGGTGCGTTGTTGGCGTGTGGATCTCCGTCGCCGCTGACTAAAGGTCGCGTTGCAGGTACTGTCGTGGGCGCCAGCGAGCGCCTGGCCCGGGGTCAGCAGCACTCCCAACACTTCCCGTTGCTCTAAGTTTGAGTCCGTGCTCTGGGGGGAGCTACTAACGTTTTAAAATCCTCAGCCATTAATATTTTACGTGTATCTTTGCCCAGCCTGGGAAATATTTAAATCCTGACATTTGGCTTACAACGTCAGCCAGGAAGGTTCTTTGCTAATGAGACTGTTTCCAGCGAGAAGCTAATCAACTCCCGGGGGGACTTGGATGGCGCTGAGTCCTCCCCCCATGACACCTGCAGGCCGGCCTCCGGTGGGCCCTTCTGGGGAGCGTGTGTGTCCTACAGGAGCGGGCAGGGAAGGACAGCTCACACCCACATACCGGGGTTTGGTGCCAGTGAAGGGCCCCTGGGAAACGCAGCTTCGTGTGCGTGTGTGCAAGAGTGTGTGTATACGTGTGTGTGGATATGCATGCACACGGGTGTGCAAGGGAGCATGTGTGGCCAGTGCAGTTCTGTGGTTAGGGTCGGGGCTGGCGCCGTGGGGTATCTCGTCCAGGTTTTGCTAGTCGCCTGAGTCACCCGGTGCCACCTGTCCCGAGTGGGCGCACCGTAGTAAGATCGTCCCCGAGGGAGCGTTGTGACGGGTGAGCGAGCGCGTCCCTCGAGGGGAGCCAGTCTCACTTCTGCACCCCGCACGCCGTCGGGTGTCTGCTCTGTGCCACGCAGTGACTTGGGGGAGAAGGTCGCCGTCCTCATGGGCTGGCACTCGGATGGGGGGGGCGGGCAAGAAGAAAAGGAAGTGCCACTGTAGACCTGGCTCAGGGAGGCCCCTCGGAGGGGACGGCCCTGGGGCAGTCCTGAGTGTCAGGGACTGGGGGGATGTGTGTTCCAGGCAGAGGGGTGCAGTGCCATGGCCGGAGGAGGACCAGGTAGCTCTGTGGGGGCAGCTGGAGGGAGGCCCTGTGGCCTGATGTGAAGAGCCATGTGGGTGGGGGCAGGGGCGGGCCAGACCCCACAGGGCCCTCGGGGCTCTGCTGGCAGGGAGGCTTCTGTCCTGTGGGAAACAGGACACCATTGGAATGTTTGAGTCAGGGGAGGAGTTCACAGGTTTTAGAGCTAAAATCTGGTTCTAAAACCTGGTTCACAGGTTTTAGAGCTCAGTCTCCCTCCTGTGTGGAGAATGGGGGCGCAGAAGGCCATGGGGGGGCAGGGCGGGGAGGCACGAGTCCCACTGCTTTTCGAGCCGAGAAGCCGCCTCATTCCTTGTGGGGTGATTCCCAGCGATAGTTGCTAAAAATACGTCATGCCGAGTGCCCGCCCTTAGAGAACTAAATGTGTTTTCACACCATCCTACGTAAGCCCTGGGGGAGGAGGGGGTACCTCGCCAGTTCTGCGGAGGAGCAGGCCTGTGACTCGGGCCCAGGGACTCCTCTCAGAGTCCTGACACATCGCCAAGGTCAGGGTTTGCAACATACGCCCATGACCGGAACACTCCTGAGAGCCGCCGAGAGCCTTCGGTTTTGGGGGGCGTGCGAGACAAGAGAATAAGATACGGGTGTTGTCTTGGTGTGGCCGGTGATCGGAGGTCTCCATTCCAGTGACTGAGGACGGTCTCTGCCGTCCAGGGCTGGTGCTGCACCCTCAGAGGGTGCTGGGGTCCCTGGTCTCCTGTGAAAATGTGGACATTCCCGAGGGGTGACGCCGTCGTCCTTGGAGGCGATCTCGCGTTAGTTCATCAGACTGAGTCTGTGAAATAAACATGGGGGACAGTGAGAGGGGCGCACCTGTTTCCTGCTCCCCACAACCTCCCCCCGACCCGAAACAGCCATCTCCGGGGCCCAGGGGCCTGGGAGGTGCTTGAGGTCTTGGTGGTGAGTTTATTGGTGGTCCTGCTGGAGAGAGGAAGGGAAGAGGAGGTACAGAAGACAGTAGCTTTGGGGGGACCCCACCTGGCTGTTGATTTGGCCTCTCCTGGCCCAGCCAGCCCGGAGTCACCCAGTATTCTGTGCTTCGTTGCCTCTTGGCATCAGATCTCGTCGCCTGTCACCGGGGTGAGGGGATAAGGTTTTACCGCCCAGAGGGACGAGGAGGGCCTTGGTTTTACAGTCTGCTTTGGGGAGAAAACATTCTCTCGCTAGGAAGACGAGGTGACAGGGCCGCCTCCCTGAACAGCCGAGGAAGGAAATAGAATATCAAACAACACTCTGCCCTCGAAAAACACAGCGATTCATACCCAACGCAACGTGTCGGTTTTTGAGTGTGAACGCGGGGATAAAGAACTATGGACTCCAAACTTCACAAAGAAAAGAGCTGCGATTTTCTAAGTTTCACGAAAACGTGAGCCTGTTTGAGGCACGGGGAGCGGTCGAGAGCTCGACGTGCAGCCCTGGCTCTCCCCGAAGACCCTGGCCCCCCACTTCTGTGAGGTTAGAGTGTGAGGGCTCCTCCCTCTGAGGCCCGCTTCGGGTTCCCAGGAGGAAACAGTCTGCAGCTAGGGAGACGGCGGGTCCGTGTGGGGACACCGCAGCCAGCTCTTCAGGGGAGCCGGGCGCTCTGCATGTCGGAGCCGGTGCGAGGGCCTGTTGCCGCCCTGCCCTGAGTCGGCGCAGGTGCTGGGACCTGCTTCCCCTACACAGGAAGTATTATTTCAACCCCCCGAAATGATGTGTCTTAGAGCCTGCACACAGGCCACTCGTTTTAGACAGACCCTCGACGCGTTTCTGGTGTTTTTTCTCCCTCCCGCACCCTCAGCGTCACCATCCTTGGGACGAGCCCCACGTGGCTGTCGATGCTTGAGAGGAAAAACCTGAAGCCAGGTGAGTGAGCCCCTCGGTGTCTGGTTCCTGGCCGCCAACCTAGGAGGTCAGGCCTGGCGAGTCACCAGCCTGCCCGCCGGCCAGGCTTGCGTTTTAACCTGTGGCGATGCTTCTCCCTAGTGGAAACGCACGATCTCCGGTCCCTGCGCATGGTCATGTCCACCGGCTCCCCGCTGCTGGCCCAGGGCTACGAGTATGTGTACAGGTGCATCAAGCGCAACGTCTTCCTGACCTCCGTCTTAGGTGTGGCCCCCCGAGTGCTGTCGCCTGGGTGAGGGGGCGAGGACACGCCCAGGCAGGCCCCACAAGCACGCACGCACACCCTCTGACCTGGCAGCGCCCGTGGGGCGGGCCTAATGGGGCAAAGCAGCCATTTGCCACGGGCCCGAGCGGGTCCTGACTTCCAGTGTGACGACGAGAGGTCGTCTTTGTCGTGTCTCCTTCAGCGGGACACTCGGTCAGGAGTAAGTCGCCCAGACACAGGGGGTGGCTCTGGTGTCTGAACCACCTCCTCCACTGCTCCCCGGATAGAAGGTCCCCCCATCGGGGAAGTTTTCCCTGGGGTCTTCCTTCTCTGCTGCTCACTAATGGGGAACATAAGCGATGGGTCTCAGTCTTCTGAAATTTGCATCTCCTCCTGCCATGGTCACAGGTGGCACCGACATCATCTCCGCCTTCATGGGCCAGAACCCCACGCTCCCTGTGTACAAGGGGGAGATTCAGGGCCCGAACCTGGGCATGGCCGTGGAGGTGTGGAACGAGGAAGGTAGGGCATTACTGGCCGCTGCTCCTCCTGCCGCTCAGCATGGGGGTCACGTGGAAGCACGTGGGCGTGGGCGTTTGCTCGGCGTCAGCTCTCCAGGGCCACTCTGAGCAGGGGAGCAGACTGGTGTCCCTCTAGCCAAGTTTGACAGCCCCTGGGCCCCCTCAGCCTGCCCGCCCGAGGAGTGGGTGTTGGGCTGGGTGCTCAGGTGGGGAGCCGAGCGCTCAGGGAAGGCAGGCGGGCGGTCGTCACCCCAGCGTCTGGGCCTTGGGGCTGCTGCTGAGGCGGCCTCACTGCCTTGCCAGCCCGACACCCTGACCTTGACCCATGGACGCACTGGGGGCTGGCTTCCCCGCTGGTCTCAGGACAGACTTTTGCTTTGTAGCCTGTAGTGGCTATTGGCTGTAAATCGGCAGAGCCTGTTTGTGTCTCCAGCACCAAACAGGGCCGGGCGTGCGGTGTGTGCACTATGCAAGTTCATGGACTTACTCTGTTTGCCTGTGGCCGCTGTCGTTGTACCCTGACAGGGTGAGTGGGAGGTGATGCCAAGTCCTGTTTGCGTGAGGCAGAGAGAAAGACGACAGCAGTGGAGACCACGCCAGGGTGGGGGCTGGAAGCCTCAGGGTGCAGGAAGCGTTTCTCCCCGTTCGGTTCGCGGAAGACGTTGCCAGAGACCTTTCTGAAAACTCGTCCTCGTCTTTGTGAGAGGGCTTCTGCCTTTGCTGCCTGGGGAGCGCTTGCTCCGTGCCTTGGGTCTGCTCTGATTCTCCTGGCCAGGCCACTGCCGCAATCCTGGGGCCCGGCCACCAGGGAGGTGCCGCTGCATCCCCGCTTTCACACGCGCGTGAAGTTATCGGTCCGTTTTCTCAGTCAAGGATATTGGGGGACGCAGGGCTAGCCGAGGGGAAAGAAATTTGAAAACGCAGAAGCGTCTGCCGCATGCAGTGATGATGGTGTCTCTGATGGCAGGTGTCCCCTCGCACTCGGCCTGTGGAAGGTGCTGGATTAACCGGCTCCAGAGGCCCACCACTTGCGGGCGGAGTCATTGGAAGGGACGCTCCCCCCACTCCTCGCTGGCCTCTGTGGCCTGTGAGTGCCTGGGGCTAGAAAGGTGACTCAGTACAAGTTTTTCAGTAAGCGCCGTAGTGGAGAGACGTTGGCACCTGGTGATCTAGGAATCCCACTGCCGGAAGAAGCCCTTGCGCATACGCACAAGGCGACATGTGCAAGAACATTCATAGCGGCGTGGCTCATAGTAGAGAACAAAATTGGGAACAGCGTAAACATACACCTTCGGGAGGAACGAGCAGCCGTGACGACGGCGGGGAGGACGAACGGGCTGGGGTGTGCGTGGCGGCGTGCACGCGTCACCCAGAGCTTCCGCCGGAAGCGAAGCGCCGTGGCGGGCACGCGCAGCCGGGCGCTGCGCACGCCAGGCCTGGAACCTGCCTCCGACAGCGCGCGTCAGGCAGGCGTGCGTGTCGACGCGGTGGAAGCGTC